TTGCAAATACAGTGTACAACAAGATGAAATGCAGTAAGGATAACAGGTTTAACCAACACTTTCACAAATACCAGATGTGGGAATTATGGCTTCACAGGTTGTTAAAAAAAAAAAAACTTGGAAGTTTTCATTAATAATACGAGCCAACACCAATTTCATGGCTCAGAAAATCTTGACCTATAGCCAAGGTCTTAGAGCAATAATACAGAGGTAATAATTTCATTATATCATATTTTAATAGATGCCACCCATTTTTATTACATAATCCATGAAAGCACAGATGAAAAATAAAAATAACTCACTGTCCCATCACTCAAAAGTGAATACTAGCTCCATTTCTGTGTTCCATATCTAGACATATTAATGTACATTGTAAGTCTTTGCAGGTTTTTTTTATAAAAGTAGATTCAAGCTATGAATGCTCTTTCATAATCAGTCGGTTTTTAATGCACCAATATATCAGTCCCCACCCCACTCTACACTGAGTGACACCTGGTACATATTATTCAGTTCTTACCTAAGTCATATTTCAAAAGGTCATTTTGAAATTTGAGGATATTCAAAAGAAGAAAAAAAGGTGGTTAAAAAAAACTATGAAAATTTGCATTCTAACACCTCAGCTCTATCATCACATAACAGCTAAGGACAACAGTAGTTCTTCCACGGAAAAGAGCAAATTTACAAGAAAACAATACAGCAAAATGCATGTCCCTGCAGAACTGTCTTGGCAGATGAATTCAGCAACTTTTGTATTGACCCATACAGCCAGGCTAGTACCAGCTGCTAGGAGTTACAACAAAGTAGATTTCAGTTCAATAAAAAATAGAATTTTTTTATGATCACAGCTATCAAAAAGTGGAATCGAATAAACAGATGCCAGGTGCAGTGGAGCATGCCTGCAGTCTAAGCACAGGAGGCTGAGGCTGTAGGGTGCTGAGTTCAAGATCAGCCAGAGAAAGATAGCAAGATCTTGCCTCAAAAGCAAGGCAGGGGCTGGAGCTAGTTACCGGGAATGTTAATAATGCTTGAGAATACTAAGTGGAAAGGAATTTTGCAGAGGAAATTTCTACGCCATGTAAGAACTTGGATTAAAGTCCTTTTTGTATTTGAAGATTCTGGTCCCAGTGAAAATTTTACTATGGCAATTTACTCCCAGTCTAGTAAAAAAGGCCTTAAGAAATTAAATTTCTCATGTGCCTTAGAGCAATGTGAGGAATCCTAACACCAATGATGAACACCTATGTATTCAATGCTTTTCATTTATTACTTTCTACATCATTTCGTCCTTATCAAAACCCTAGGAATAGATGCTATTACTGTTTCCACCTCACAATATTTTGCAGTGAGTATGGCTTTTTTGTAGTAGTTTAAGGGTAGTCTTATGTCACTAAGAACTACAGTATCACTCAAGCACACCTCCTCATAACACAGCCATAGCTCATGTAGTAAATCATAAGCAAACAGAAGCATCTTCGGCAAACTTTTTATCTAATTAGGTCCCAAACGAGTAGTCAATGAATTTTTTTTCTTAGCAAAATAAATGCATTATTTCCAGCTAACGAACATTCAGACTGTCTTATCTAAATAGACCACACACCTTAAACTTTGAAAACAAAATAAACTCATGAATCTAACTGAAGACTTGGCAAAGCAAATTTGAGTTTCAAACCCTTGGTGTTACTAATGAAGTGACCTCGGATGAGTTATTAGTCTTCCTATGTCTCTTTAGTCTTTCTCCTGTGAAATGAGTATTGAACTCTGGATGAGACATGCAAGCATTTGCCCCAGAGTCTGACCTGACTGCTACACTACACAAGTAAAAAAAAAAACAACAGAAAGACTTTACACTACACAAGTACAAACACCAACAGAAAGACTTTACACTACACAAGTAATAAACCAACAGAAAGACTTTACACTACACAAGTACAAACACCAACGGAAAGACTTTACACTACACAAGTACAAACACCAACGGAAAGACTTTACACTACACAAGTAATAAACCAACAGAAAGACTTTACACTACACAAGTACAAACACCAACAGAAAGACTTTACACTACACAAGTAATAAACCAACAGAAAGACTTTACACTACACAAGTAATAAAGCAAGTAGAAAAGACTGATTAATCTATTCCACAATTCACTCCAAAATATTAAAATATCTCAACATGCCATTATGTTTGCTGGAGAAGAGCACACCTCCCATTACCCTATAACTTTCTGATTGGCAGTCATTAATAAAATAAAGTGATAACCACATAAAATGTGTCTTTGAAATTCCCTTTTATGCAAAAGAACACCTAAATACAATTCAACTCCCATTTTCTTTGTTTTCTTTTTGGTGGTGGTGGTGGTGGTGGTGGTGAGTTTTGGTTTTTGGGTTTTGGGGACAGTTTCTCTAACAGTCCTGGCTGTCCTGGAACTGAATTTGTAGCCCAGGCTGTCCTCGAACTCACAGAAATCCTCCTGCCTCTGCCTCCCCAGTGCTGGGATTAAAGTCGTGCACCACCACTCAGCTCCATTTTCTTAAAAGGCATGTTTTGGTTGCTAATTCGGTGTGAGATAAGTAAATGCAAGTCTGAAAGGTACTGCTTTTATTTGTGATTTTTATAACCTCATTTAAACTGCTCTCCTGAATATGCCTTGTTTTCCATGTGTGCTCCTGTAGAGCCACAGGGCCAACCAACAAAACCATTAATAAAGAAAACTCATTCCAGCCAAACACTGTGGATCATGCTTTCACTACTTAAGTGTTTACTAACATTAAATACTTGATGTTTTATCCCTAAAATGTGTCATCTATTTTTGTTTCAAAAATAACACAACTGAGGAGTGAGTGTTCAAAAAGCCATTTGTCTCAATTTGTGTCAACGAAATTAATTAAATTTCTTATTATTAATAAATTCTTGTTTTTCCAAAGATATTAACTTTTGAGGAACTTGTTTTAGCATACAACCAGAATATTTTTTATAATTGATGAACTGGTGCCTTTTGCAAATACACTTATTTCACTTATGACTTAAAACTCTAACTGAACTTCTTTTCGATAAACTATCTAGGGGTAAATATTAAAACTGTAGTCTAAAATATGTGTATTATCTACTTGTGTTTAAAAATGAAGGAGGGTACACAGACTAGTCATCTTTTCTAAGGCCCACTGGGAGGGAAAAAAATCTCCTATAAATAACAATGGTTCTGAAATGAAATATTCCAATAGTGCCACGGCCACCAAGTATATATAACAGTACATGGATCTTTAAAGCCCATTTTTCAATTACGTTCATTTCACTGTAATATAAACTTGTCCTTTTCCCAATAGCCAGTATTGTAATTAATTGAACTATCTGACCACAACTATGAAAGCCTACGTATATAACATTTTCATGCAAAAGTTTGTATCCAACACTTATCAAAATCAGCACAAGGGTTCAGAGCAGAATTTCTTAACACGTGAGTCGCAACCCCTTTGGGAGTCGAATGACCCTTTCACAGGGGTCGCCAAAGACCATCAGAAAACACAGATGTTTACATCATGGTTCACAACCCATAGCAAAATTACAGTTATGAAGTAGCAACAAAAATAACTTTATGGCCGGGGATCACCACCACCACACGAGGAGCTGCATTAATGGGTCGCAGCGTCAGGAAGGTTGAGAAGCACAGTTTCAGAGGGTAAAAGTACTTGCTCTCAAACCCGAGAGTGTGTGTACCAGTTCTTGAATCCACACGGTAGAGGGAGAGAACAGACTCTCACAAGTTGTGTCCTCTGATTTCTGCACAGGCTACATGACATGCACTGTGCACGCGCGCGCGCACACACACACACACACACACACCACAAATAAATGTCATTCTTTCATTATTTTTATGAAGAGTCGTACAAAATACCTTTAAGCAAGAAAATCACTTCAGCTTTTAAAAAAAATTTTATAAGTATCATTGAATTGCCTGAGAGATGTTTTAAGGTAAAGATATGAATGATGATAGATGCTTCCAAAAATATACAGGACAAAGTGAATAACCAGGACTTGAGAACTAAAGATCTTTCCTTGAATTTCATTTAGTGAGTGCTCTTCAGGCTTCCTTCCTCCTAAGTGATTTCATTTGTTCAATTCAACTTTTAATAGTTTCTCAAATATGCAAATGAAACCAGCTATGTCTAACTTACGTCTGCTGAATAAAGACCTCGACATTTTTTTTTTTTAATGTCACCTTAGAATGATTCTTTGAGCAATATTCGTCTTACCTGCACCATGTTCGTCTTAAAAGGCCTCGACTGTATTCCACACGCACTTTCCCAAGCCGGACTTGGCTTCCTGCATCCTGAGTTTCACTCAGATAAGTCAGGGTAACTGGAAGTACTGCTAAGGGCTGCCTAACCTGCCTCAAGATTTACACACTGCCCTGGGGACGGACACCTCAGAAGGTCCCCTGCCTTTGTTTTGTGGGATCACACCCCACCGCCAGTGCCTTCTGCACGAGCAGGCAGCAGCAATCCAAGAAGGCTGTGGCTTTGGCACGATAACTGCGTGCACCCACTAGCTTCTCACGTAAATAGTCGGGGTGGGCTCCACAGCTGCAGACACAAAACAGTAAGGGACGTGCCGGATTTTCTTCTAGCAACACCAGTACCTGTACAAGTTCTGCACCACCACGGCTCAGAGAAAAGTAGCTGACTGACGCCGCATTGATAGAAAGCTATTTTAAAATTACTCAAAGAGTCTAAAGCATCAGGCTAGCTGGGAGGCTCTTCCTCTCCACACACACACACACACACACACACACACACACACACACACACACACACACACACAGGGTCTTGTTTTCCTGCCTAATTTAAGAATGAATCGCTGACACCTCCAGGTGCAATACCCTGAGGAAAGAACGTACCCATCACAATGCTAACGAGGGTGCACACACACACACACACACACACACACACACACACACACACACACACACACACACACACACAGTGGGTGCCAGTTCTTACCTTAGCAGATTAGACAGGGGCAGAGGTCCGGATCCACCACCCAGGATCCCTCCTTTCCTGCCAGATAGGAGTTTCTCCACCAGAGCCACATTGCCAGTGCGAGCAGCTTCCAGCAGCTCCTGGTCCTTCCCCATAGTCTCTCACGAGTCCCCTACAGAGTCCTTTCCCTGCTCCGGTCCTCCTCCCGGTCCACTCTCCAAAAGCCAGGGCCCTCCCCGCCCCACCCTAAAAGGATGCCAGGGCTTCAGCTCGCTGAGATCCCCGCAGCCCCGCGCCGGGAGCAGCACGCCGTCCTCCTGTCACACGGTACAGCTTCTACAATGGGGAGCAGCCCGCGTTTGGGCAGAGGGGCTGGCCGAGCGGCGACGCGCCCCCACAGCCACTCCCCTGCATTCCCGAGGCCTCCTTCCCGCGGGTGGGGTGCGAGCGGGTGGGGACCGGGCCCGGGTGCCGCTGAGGAGCGGAAGGAGGACGCTGCTGAGCTCGGAGGAAGATGCCAAGCCAGCACTAGGGAGGATGCTCAGGGAAGAGGACGCTGAGCTCGGAGCAGGAGGCTCGGGCGCTGCGAGGAGGATGCCGAGCACCGGGGAGGATGCTCCGCACTGAGAACACGGAGCGTCTCGGAGGAGCGAGCCCAGCGCGTCCTCCCCGGAGCTGGAGCTGGAGCCGGAGCCGGAGCGTAGCGAGCGACAGCGGCGGCCCGTGCGCCCGCCCGAGTGCCCAGCCTGGACTGGCCTGGGTTCCGCGCCGGGCGGGCTCGGCGGTTCCGCGGCGGCGATGATGGTCGCGGAGGCTGGGGTGGCTGCGGCCCGCGCCGAGGCTGGGCTGTGCGGGCGAGCCGCAGCGGGTGCGTGCGGAGGGCGGCGGCGGCGGCGGCGGCGGCGGCTCGGAGGCTCGGCGCGCGGGGGGCGTGTGCGCGCGGCAGGTGCGGCCCGGGGCCCGCCGTGGGGCGGGGGCGGGGGCGGGAGGAGGCCAGCTCTGTGCCAGTGGGCGGGGCCGGCCCTCCCTGCTCCCTCCTCCGTGCTCCCGCCGCCCTCCTCCCTCCTGCCCAGCTCCCCGCTCCTTCTCCCTCCTCTCGCCTCCCCCCTCTCTCCTCTCCCCTCCCTCCCTTCTGCTCACTTCTCCCCGTCTCCTCCTCGGCAGAGGTTTAACTGTGTGAGTACTGGAGATCACCCTGCTGGCTGCTGAGGCGCCTTCTCCGCCTGGAGCTCAGACTCCGGAACCATCCTTGAGGAAAGTCTCCCACTAGGAGGTGATGGAGAACCTGATGCTCAAAGAGGCGCCTTTTCGGCTGCTTCTGTCCCAGTCCAGGATATTTCATCCTCTTGCTTTATCTCCCGGTGAGAGTGAGATACTCACCCTGGGAACAGATCGAAGAGGTTTGTTTTATCCTAATTTCTGAACCACTGAATGCCTTGCGACTTTTGCAGTTTTTTGGAGCGTCTTTAATCAGCCTGAATTTTAGTTGAGCTTTTGAGATTTGCTGACTTGTTGCAAACACCAGAAAACAGGTTCTTATTGAAAATCTCTCCACATCCACACTAGGAAAGATATAAATGGGCATGGATGACAGAGCTGCTTTGATCTGCATATGTCATCAGCAATTCATTGTGTATGGCTGACTTGATTTTTGTTGGATGTTTTCCTTGCTTGTGGTAGAGGACGCACACTTATTTTCTTTTGAAACTTCCTGTGACTGCTTGTGGTGAGATGGTGGGAAAGGATGTGATAGGTGCTTTGTTTACAACAGCCCAGTGAGCTGGGTACTATTAGTATATATTACCTTAGAGCTAAAGTACAGGTCTGGAAAAGGACATGGTGCCACACAGAGTCCTTGGCTGACAAACTGGACCCGGGAGTCAGTGACATGGCTCAGCACGGAGAAATAGCTTATGCCAAGCAAGGACCTGAGTTCAGTCTCAGGAATCCTCGTAGTGAAAGGAGAGAACTGGCTCCATCAAGTTGTTCTCTGGCCTCTACACACCATGGTACATGTTTACACACACACACACACACACACACACACACACACACACACACACACACACCCCTACACACAATTAGAAATAAATCTTGAAGCCAGGCATGGTGGCACACGCCTTTAGTCCCAACACTCAGGAGGCAGAGGCAGGTGGATCTCTGAATTCAAGGCCACCCTGGTCTACAGAGTGAGTTCTAAGATAGCCAGGGCTACAGAGAAACCCTTTTTCAAAAAGAAAGAAAGGAAGGAAGGAAGGGAGGGAGGGAGGGAGGAAGGAAGGAAGGAAGGAAGGAAGAAAGGAAGGAAGAAAAGAAAAGAAAAAGAAATAAATCTTTTAAAATAAATAAATAATAAATGCAAAAAAAAAACATTTTGTAGAACTGACTTAATCCAGATCCCAACTTCAGCCCTCTTTTGCACAGCAAATTACACAGATGATAGTTTTTACAAACATTTGATGAACAGTTACCACATGCCAGAAGCCGTATGTATTAAGTGCTCTCTATATTTTTATTTCAACACTCACGGGATTTCTGTAGAATATGAGACTATCATCTGTGCGTTTTGCTTTTCCATGGGGGCAGAGGTACCACTTTTACCCCTAATGTACATATCAGAAAAAAGGATGAGCTCAAAGTCATGCAGCTGGAAATTAAGGCAAGACAAATCCAGGACTGTCTGCTCTCTAGAGCAAGACTTTAAGTAACCAACAGGGAAACTCAAAAGACACTTGGAAATGAAAAACAAAAATAAAATGCTTTTGTGTAGCTCAGTATTCTAAGATTTCATTTCAGTGGCTCAAGGTATTAGGTAAATTTGTAGCTTCTCCTTGTAGGTTTCCCAAAGGGCATGGAGTTTGACAAGTGTGATGTTTTGTTTTTACTTTTCATTTTAAAACCTATTTTAATGAAAAGATGATATATGACCTCTGATATAATGGAACTAGCAGAACAGTTCATAAAACAAGAAATCAGTAGACACTAATTGGTTTTGAAAATAGCGTGGGATAATCCTGTTTCCCTTTGCTACTGTTGCCACCAAAGCAAAATAAACTTTTCCTAGAATAGCCTGTAAGTACTTGTGGTTTGAAAGAAAATGGTCCCCAAAGGGAGTGGCTCGATTAGCAGGTGTGACCTTGTTGGGGTAGGTATGGCCTTGTTGGAGGAAGTATGTCACTCTGGGGGTGGGCTTTGAGGTCTCCTATGCTCAAGCTATGGCCAGTGTCACTATTTACTTCCTGTTGCCTGTGAATCAAGATGTAGAACTCTCAGCTCCTTCTCCCCCGCAATGCCTGCCTGCATGCCGCCATGTTGCACCATGATGATAATGAACTGAACCTCTGAAACTTTAAGCCACCCAAATTAAATGTTTTCCTTTATAAAAGTTGCTGTGTCTCTTTGCAGCCATTGAAACCCCAGCTAAGACAGTACTCAAATGAGCAAAGCTAAAATATCAGCCACTATTGAATCATGGATGAGTTAGTGTTTTGAGGCTCCTGAGTCATCCTTATCAAAAATCTTGCAACTTCCAGGGGGGAAGAACCATTAAAAATGATTTACTCTAAGGATCAGTTCCAACTTCCAGGCACTCCACTGACATCTGATATTCAAAGGCAATTTTTCTACTCTACACTTTTTATTTCAGTTAGTTCCTAGCTTCCTACTGAAGAGGACGAAGGCTTTCATTCAATGAGAATAAACATGAAACTTAAAAGTAAAAACATTATTCCAAAAATCTGAAGAGGCTAAGTATCCAGAATTCTTTAAATGTTCAGATTTCATCAAACATTTTTGCACTTGTGAATGCTAGAAAGAACCATTAAATCTTGGGAGCCAACTGGGCAATCTGGATCTGAGTTTGTCAGATGAGAATTTGGAGTTCGTCTTTACTGGCCTTCCCAATCCTAACAGCATATTTTCTGTGGTGAAGTGTGGATTTTCATTGCTTCCTGATTACAAGACTAAGAACCTGTCTCCTGTAGAGAGTCAGAACAACAACAAATAGAAGGCTGGATGCCAAAGAAAAGCCACTACCCTGCTTAGTGGTCCAGGAAGCAGAAGAGGCAAGAGAAAAAGAAAACTGGAGTTGAACCAGAGTCGTATTTGAAAGCAAAGCAACTTCACTCACTGGTAAAGCAGTCCCTGCAGAGCTAAATAGGAAAAGCAAAGTGTTCATTGTCTCTTAGAAACAGAAGTTTCCTGTCCTCTGGGGAGAGCCAGTGAGAAGGAACAGAGATTCCCCCAGATCCCTGGTCCTCACATTCTATCACCCCTCTTATGGCTGTGGCATTAACCCCGCCCCAGAGATATCTTGCCTCTGTGCTATGACCAACTTTGAGAGTCTGTGTACACCACCTGTGACCCCACACATACCCCCTGAAAACATAGTGTAGTCTACAAACTACTCATAACATTGAGAAGTCTCTAAAATTCCAACAGTTTTCCCCCACCTCTTTTTGTTTTTCTCCAGAGATGCACGGTGTATTAATCCCAATAATCCAGAGGCAGGTGGAGCTCTGAGTTTAAGACTAGCCTTGTCTACAAAGTGAGTTCCAGGACAGCCAAGACTACACAGAGGATTGTACAGAGGAAATGCCAGGTACACCTGAAAACCTATTACACAGTACCTCCAAGCAGCAGCTAAGAAGACATTTGGATGCAGACAGATGATTTAGCCTGGGCATCTGATCACCCTCAAAAGCTAATCCCAACCTTCCTTCTTTAACCCCATCAGCTAGCTACTCAGCAATGTGGGCTGTGCGGTCCCTGTCACACTGCTCAGCTCTGCTGTTGAACCCTAAAAGTAACCTTAGGAGATACTTTTGTGGGGGAAGGGTTTGGGACAGGGTTTTTCTGTGTATCTCTGGCTGTTCTGGAACTCATTCTGTAGACAAGGCTAGCTTTGAACCCACGGAGATCCACCTGCCTCTGCCTCCCAAGTGCTGGGATTAAAGGCGTGCACCACCACTGCCTGGCTCTTAGGAGACAGTTAAACAAATGAGTGCAGTTATAATCTAGTACAAAACTTTTTCTTATATACAATGAAATCTGAATATTGCATCATTGTCTTAGATTACAAAGTAATTTCTCAACTGTCGAAAAAATGCAAAAGCCGGGGGCTGGAGAGATGGCTCAGAGGTTGAGAGCACTGACTGCTCTTCCAGAGGTCCTGAGTTCAATTCCCAGCAACCACATGGTGGCTCGCAACCATCTGTAATGAGATCTGGTGCCCTCTTCTGGCCTGCAGTCATACATGCTGTATACATAATAAATAAATAAATCTTTAAAAAAAAAAAAAAAAAGAAAAGAAAAAATGCAAAAGCCAAGCTGGAGAGGTGGCTCTATGGTTGAGAGTGTTGCCACTCTCCCAGAGGACCTGAATTCTAGTCCCAGCACCCACACAGCAGATTGCAGCTGTCTGTAACTCTGCTTCCCAGGGATTCAATGCTGGTCCTCTGGTTTTCACTAGTACTTTACACATATGGTACCCCATATATTCAGGCAAAGCACCCATACATATAAAAAATAATGTTAATAATGAAAAAAACTTAGTTCTGTGGCTATACAGGTTGTCAGTGGGATTGACTCATGTGCTACAATCTACAGGTTTAACAGTGACTTGATCTAAAGCCTAGCTAGAGAAATACTTCTTTTGGCCTGGTTGCTTAGAGGTGGGGGTATAAAGAAGAGGCAGAATAAATTGCCCCTTTAAGCTGTCTCTCCCACCCCAGGTTAGGCAGATAGGAAGCCTTCTCATCAGTAAATCCTAATTCCCGTATATCTGGGAATGTGTAACTCGAATTGCTAAATGGTCTTATTAATAAAAAAAAAAAACCCAGAGCCAGATATTGGGGTGAAAAACTGAGAGATCA